TCTCTCTCTCTCTCTCTCTCTCTCTCTCTCTCTCTCTCTCTCTCTCTCTCTCTCTCTCTCTCTCTCTCTCTCTCCTTGCTTTGATAGCCTGTCCGGCGGTTGTCTACACGAAAAACAAATTCCCAAAAACGCTAATTCTTTGGCAAATAATGTCATAACTTGTAATCAAATATAATTTGGTTTTGTTATTCTAGTTTATGTTTATCTATTAACTTTTATAACTGTATTAATGCATTAAACGTTATGTTTTTACCGCTTATATCACATGATATCTCTTATACTATATCATACATCCATCACATAATGTTTGACAATAACAAGTAATAACATTATTATAACCATATATTTGACAGTAAATGGAGTGACGGTTACAGAAGTGCACATCATATCCATCAACACCGGAAGAACCGATTATGTAATACAAGGCGAGTCCGCACAGCTATCCTGTCATTACATATTCACCAAACAGGAGGAAAGGATCCAATCCGTCAGATGGGAAAAGGATGGACAGCATGTATGTTCACAAATCAATGCACCCATTGTTTTGCATCACACACTAAGATCAATGCATGTCTTGTAATGGCACATGTCGTACATATTTAACTGATAGGTAGAGGGGATAGCGAGCGACGAGATGTGAGATTAGATTTTTGTAAAATCATGTTCAGTCTTGGAAATAACAATATAAATGCAATATATATAACAATATATATAACAATAGCAAAATATTTTAAAGTTATTTCACAATTTTGTAGTTTTTTTTGCAAAACTTGTAATTTAGGTCTATTTTGGTGATCCCTTTGTAATATCTTAGATAACAATACTTTTATCCAATTATGAGCGTTTACATTATGTTATATTATTATACTCACTTATTCGTTTTGTATATATGTCATATAAAATATATACTATAAAGACCAGTATAAAAGAGAAAGTTACATAATAACATAATGTTTAACCGAATTTAATTGCTCTTTCTTTGCCATACATTTATGACTCTTATATAATACAATAGAAATGCATTACGTGTTTACGTGTTTTCATATATTAAACACTATATCATATAAAATGCTATTTCCATTTGTATTCAAGTCTGTAATGCATATAAAGTTTATACACAAAAATATATAAAGTTATATACAATATAGCTAGTATTTATTTAGATTTCTCTCTCTCTCTCTCTCTCTCTCCAATCCCTTCCCTCTGAGCTATGTTTTAAGTTCATAACCAAAATACCGGTGCTTTTAACGAAAACATTGTAATACAATCAGTTTTATTGTTGCAAAATATCATTTGCATTCCGCGCACAAAATCATCTCTTTTAGTGTTTTTAGTCTCAAAAAATTGTGAATATTTTAAACAATGTTTTCTGTTATTTATTATGCTTTTAAATAAATAAATACAAAATTAGACTATTTGTTAAGATAAAAGCCAGACAATGCTATACAGAATTTGTGAATAGTATAGTATAGTTTATGTATTCATGATATCACTAGAAAATCATATTAATGAAAATATTTAAATTAGATATTAATTAGTAATATAATTACACCAGTATTTCAGATATAATAACACTATTTATGCTTTTATTTCATACTCTATAGTGTATTCATGATATCACTAGAAAATCATATTAATGAAAATATTTAAATTAGATATTAATTAGTAATATAATTACACCAGTATTTCAGATATAATAACACTATTTATGCTTTTATTTCATACTCTATAGTATGATTGCTGCGAAGCTATTTATAACTTGACGTGGTTACTGTACTGCCTTGATAATTTATAACCTATTATTCACCATTACTGTTACACTTATTATAGTCATTGAGTACCCTGATTTTCATTAAATTTAATATGTATTATGAGTAAAAAAGTTTTTTATTTAAAACCCCACTCCTTATATATGTACACAGTATATATGAGTAAGACATGAATAGAGTATAAATTACATAGCAATAAAATTGCCTTGGAGCTGCCCTGAAGCATACATACTCTATAGCCTGGGACTGAATATATATTTGTAGTTTAAATGTATAAAAGTTTGAAAAATATCTCTATTTAATGGTTTGCAAAATAAAATACAAATTAATCAACAAAACAAAAGCACAATTACATTGTTATTTGTGTGTTTAAATCATGTTTATCAAGTGGTAATTATTATGTCGTGCATTATCTCACACTTGGAGACAACAAATGCCTTTATTAGCAACTAATAAATATTTTAGAGTTTTCTAAAAATGACAAAATTTTTATTTATGCGCTAAAAACACAGAATATTCTGCGAATAGTGTTTAACGAGACGTAAATAGTAGGGACACGACTGCGACGACGGGTCCCATAATTAACAGGCAAAATGTCACCATCGCTGGGAACCGTATGTTTGTCATGCATTTGCAGTCATTTGTTAGGAAAACATGAAATATATGTTTTTATTTTGTAAACGAGAAAAAAGTTAAAAAAAACTCTTCTCTTAATTATCGGTTTTGCGAAAATATCTATAAATCATTTTGTGTTTACTATGAATGCCGTATTCTTTCGTGTGTTTGCGAACATAAATAATCAATTAATTAATTAAAACTCATGTATTTTTTCTGTCAATGTATTTTACATTATGTTTATTCACGCGTTAAAAGCCTTGCCATTGATTTGAGTGCCCAGACATTGAATGGTAGGGCACAGGAGGCCATCGAGTGATAAATTCATTACAATATATACACTATTTTAAGCTTACTTTCCCACTTAAAAGCCAGGGCTATAATTACATAATAAATGATCATGCTTATTCAGGGCATATAATTTATCATATTTAGGTTGGTGAAACAGATTTGATCTCAATTTTGTTTTTGGGGGCCAATAATTATCCAACCCTTTGGAGCGCAAATGTATCGCACAATAGATGTGTATAAATGCAAATAAATGGCAAAAGCCATTGGAAAAAGCGATTCTCGCTATTCATACAAAAGTATTGCAAAACTCTACCATAATTAATCATTTTTAACAAATTAATTGCCCTGAAAAGATGTTTCACTGCATCACTCTATTGGTGTGCAGCGATGTATACACACACTGTATAAACTGTAAACTTTATTTGCTATAAATATAACCCTAAAAACATAGTATTTATTGTATGTAAAAAATGATTTAATATTAACACTAACTTAATATATAATACATATTTATACACCAGAATATTCTTGTGGGAATCACATTAACACACATCGAGAATATATATGATTATCTTTTACATACACTGAATGTGTATTTTTATGTTACAATTTTATTGATGTATTTCTAAACGCATATGCATTTCTCTCTCTCTCTCTCTCATTGCTCTTTCACTGACGATATCTCTGTATTCATACAAAAAGGTGTACTTTTCGACGCCAAACAAGAAGAGGCCGATAGCTGTGGGTGTCCTCAAAGGGCACGTCGACTACAATTCAAAGGATTTGTTAAACACCGTAACGATACTGAATGTGTCGCTGGAAATGCACGGCACCTATTCGTGTCACGTGGACTCAGACCTCAACACATCGCAAAACTCAGCCACACTTACCGTCATTATCGGTGAGTCCTCTCCTTCTCTCCCCCTCACTATCACTGCAAAAAACACAAACACATACAGACATCACACCAACCATTACATCAAATGCCATCACATCCCTCACATCCCTATACACTCCAAGCCCTGCACACTCTGGCACTGATGAGCTCCCGGTGTAATAAATCAAATATAATTTAAAAACACCGAGAGTTAGAAAAAACACACTCACATACAGTGTGTATAACATTGCTATTTCTGTACTGCAAAAGTGTACGGTATGTGTGGGTTGTGTCAGGAATCGTGGCATCGATTTTATTGTCTCATCCCTTTCCCCAACACATCTCTCGTATGGGAACCTTCGCTGTTAAAGCGCTGGCAAATTGGGTCAAAATTATCATTTCAATTGATAGGGCGCTTGTAGTTTGTGTGTGTGTGTGGTATGTGTGGGTACGAGAAAGTAAAATGATTTGCTTTTATTATGATCACTATTATTATAGTGGGGGTAATGTATTAAATATATTAATAAATACCCGTATATATTGTATAATAAACAGATAGACTATTAGACTCAGTGTATGTGTTGGTGGAGAGACTATGAGATAAAATAAAAGCCATTCTTTCGATGCATTTTGTATTCTTGTTGTTGTATTCCTTTATCGACTCAATGAACAGATATTATGACAGAATAATCGAAATTTTCCATCAATTTATTTCTGTAAAAATTATATACAATTTTGTTGGCCTCCGAAATAACTAATCGATTATCTGATGAGACACTGTCTTTAGACTGACGACTGGTTTACACCAAAAGACTAGGCTTTTCATGCAATGAACATTGATTTTACTCTTGAATTTTATGGTGAATTACAGCATAACCTTAATGTTTGGCTATAGATTTACTCTACGTTAGAGTATATCCAGAGTACTATAAAGTATGCTTTATTAGTGCAGAATATATTAGTGAATTATACTATACTATAGGTATTAGTGTATAATTTGACACTAATTTGTTTATCATATGAAGCGCTTCTCTACAAAACCACACAAAAACATTATTAGACGAGCGATAAAATCACAAACATTTTAAAACTAAATTAATATTTATTTTTCTAGCCATAAAATATCCATTTAATGACATTTTAAAATTTGTATCTAAAATAAACATTTGATTTATGGAGGTTTGGGATTGACAGCAAAAGTAATGTCTAAATTTTAAAGTAAAATGATTTGCTTTTATTATGATCACTATTATTATAGTGGGGGTAATGTATTAAATATATTAATAAATACCCGTATATATTGTATAATAAACAGATAGACTATTAGACTCAGTGTATGTGTCGGTGGAGAGACTATGAGATAAAATAAAAGCCATTCTTCCGATGCATTTTGTATTCTTGTTGTTGTATTCCTTTATCGACTCAATGAACAGATATTATGACAGAATAATCGAAATTTTCCATCAATTTATTGCTGTAAAAATTATATACACTTTTGTTGGCCTCCGAAATAACTAATCGATTATCTGATGAGACACTGTCTTTAGACTGACGACTGGTTTACACCAAAAGACTCGGCTTTTCATGCAATGAACATTGATTTTACTCTTGAATTTTATGGTGAATTACGGCATAACCTTAATGTTTGGCTATAGATTTACTGTACGTTAGAGTATATCCAGAGTACTATGAAGTATACTTTATTAGTGCAGAATATATTAGTGAATTATACTATACTATAGGTATTAGTGTATAATTTGACACTAATTTGTTTATCATATGAAGCGCATCTCTACAAAACCACACAAAAACATTATTAGACGAGCGATAAAATCACAAACATTTTAAACTAAATTAATATTTATTTTTCTAGCCATAAAATATCCATTTAATGACATTTTAAAATTTGTATCTAAAATAAACATTTGATTTATGGAGGTTTGGGATTGACAGCAAAAGTAATGTCTAAATTTACACACTAATGGACCGACAAAAATAACACACATTAATAAAGAAACACAAAACTAATTAAAACACTACTATTTGTTGCAATGATTACATACGATAATCGGTATCACACTTTCAGACGCCTGTAAGGAAAGCCATTGGAAAACACACACAGATATGATTAACTGCACGGAAGACATCAGTTTCTATTGCATCGGAATGTTTCCGAAACCATCGCCGGCCTGTAGTATACATAACGAGTGAGTATTTGCTTTGCTTTTCAATAATATATTTGACAAAATATTATACGAAGTTTTTATCTCGAAATTTATTGCCCAAAAAAATCCGTTGCTTTTAAATCCCGATGTAATCTGATTTTTGTTGTTGAATATCCACTACAACGACAAACAATTAAATATTCATCACTGATGGATGACTTAAGCCATTGTAATCTGTATACAAATCGATGTAATTGACGTTCGCAGACATTATTTTATTTTTTATCATTTTTCTTTATCTTTCTGTCGTAGTATTTAATGTTATTTTTCACTGTTTTATAAGTATTTTCAAGTCTTATATTCACATGAAATATACATAAAACGGATAATGTCTTAAAGTTTTGTTCAGTTTTTTGTGTTCATTATATATGAGATAACAGCGAAAAGTATTAGCGAAAGTAAAACCGTAATAACTTTACACATGTTTAAAACATGGCTTAATATGTGTTATACTCGTTGACAGAAAATATTCAGCAAAAAACTAAAACATGTTTCCAATAGCATATAAAAGCATATAAAATATTATTTATTTATTTTATTAAAAACTTTTTTTTACGTGTAATAATGATAACACAGTTTTAAAAGCACTCATCAATCCGTATGCAAAATAACGCACAGAATATTCAAATGGATAAAAAGTGAGAGAAATGAATGCTTTTTGCACATCAAGTATAGCGTTATATACGAGATATGTTTTATATATTTATTTCCAAATATACTATTTTCTTGTATCGGAGAGAGAGAGAGAGAGAGAGAGAGAGAGAGAGAGAGAGATGTGCACATTTTTAACATTCAGCTAACATTTCATGTGACTTATACTACACATTGAAAGGCATTTCCCTAAACGATGTATACATTTCTGTTAACGCAAACAGTTTTACGGATAAATACTTCGCCGGCGAGACGTTTGACGTGAACCAAGAGTTGCCGAACGGAACGTACGAGATATCGATTAGACGCCGCTATCACGTGACCGACTTTATCAACTTCGCCGGTCAACTGTCCTTTCAATGCCATCTCGTAATTGTCATGACTTCGTGGCGAATGGGTATCAACTATAAACTCTTTGGCGACTCCGGCTGTATAGACGATCCGCCGAAAATCAATAATGGTAAAGTTTTGTTACACCAAATCAATGTATTTTACCCAGGGCCATTATGCTTATTATGTTGAGTAAGCTAATTGACCCGGTGTAATATTTTTGTTGCTACATAAACAATTGTTTGCAAAACGCACCTGAAAAATAACTTGTAAACAATATAATAACTACTGATAATTACGGTAAAATTAAAACTTTTGCCAAAACCATATAAAGTATCTTAAAGTACCATATAAGATATTTGCTATAAAGCAAAGTATAATAATATAAAAATGGCATATATATTAGATATTATGAATTCCTTTAGTCAAAGAATTTGCATTCCTTTGCATTGTATAACAATGTACTTACCATTTGAATACAGAATATTCTGCTATACTATCATGTTTAACAGTGTGTTAAACTCAACATTTGAGATATATATGCTATCGTTAATGCAAACATTATCTAACAGTATTGAAGGATATATTGATAAATTATTGTATGAATTAATATTTAATGCTTTATATTAGCCAATAATTGCAAAACACAATTACACAGTTATTATATACTTTTAAAATATTAATATGCATTATATGGTTATATTTAATAATGATGATGGTTTTGTGTGGACTCTGATCTGGAAAACATTAATTATATGCACATAATGTACTGTACATCAGATGATCATCTATTAGATAATTATAGCGTTTTTAAAGCATTCAAATTAGTTTTCCATTACAAATACTTTGAATTAAAAGGATATGCATATTATACTTGTTTAGGATGCGAATACACTGTATATATATATTATGCATGTTATATAAATGTCAGTGCAATAAATGGTGGATAAATAAATATTTGGTTCCAGTATTTGAATATCTACTGAAAAATATAATCATTTATTATATGGAAAGCGTATGTTTTGCTGGACTTTTGATAAAAATACTTAATCCGTACACTAATTGAATTGTTAAGCAGACTATATGGGAAAATACAATTATAAAATTATGTATTATTTAGCAAATAATTGTATCTTATATTTACACAATTGAAAGCAAAGATTATACAATATTTATTAAACACTAATTAGTCTTAAATCTGAACGGAAGGCAAAACAATTGATTAGAGATACTATGGTATTATTCTTTACACAATATTTTTAAAAACTATTTTAAAATTTGAAACACTTTTAATTAAATATTTAGCTAAAATGTGTCTGTTTTATATTAAAAACAAAATATATGACAATTTATTAACAAAATAGTATTGTTTTTACTCATGTCCCTATGTTTATCTACAAAACTAATCTATAAATTATATTAAACAATATATGGCTTATGAAATACATCACTCAATACAGGAACTTATTTTATTGAGCAAAAATATAATATATTATATAAAAACTTTTTATTTATATTACTTCCCATTCATTCAGCGAAACACCCGATTCCTGACCAACAATTCAATTAATTTCATTGCGTTTGAGTGAACACTAGACCTAAATTATAGCCATCACTACACGACTACTACCGGAGCATCAAATATAGTCCTCATATCGTATATAAGTCTCAGGAATTTTTGAGTGCACTTAAAATATACGGAGAAATGAGGGGAGAGAGAGAGAGAG